CGCCCACTCCCCTTTTTCTTATGAACGCATCGGACCACCACTACAACAATCCAACAATGGCCGATGATGCGATTGCCCGTATCGAGCGGCAGCAGGCCCAAATGGCCGCCATGACGAAACGTCGACAAGAAAAGGAAGCCGAACGGGCCCGTAAAAATGAAGAACGAGATTTATTACTGCAAATGAAAGAGCGAGAGGCCAACAATCGGATTGCCCAACTCAATGCGGCCGAAGAGAGACGACAAGCCGCCATCAAAAAAGCCGCGTCGCAACAAAAGGCAGAATCGCAAAGTATCAAAGACAAAATGGCCAAACTCAAAGCCAAGAAATTAAAGGCCAAGCAAGAAAAGAAAAACAAGACCACGGCGGCTCCTGCTCCTGCTGCTGAAGCACCCAAAAAGAAAAAAGCCACTCCCCGCAAATCGGTGGAAGCCCAAAAGTTGGCAGGAAAGGCCGCCCTCAAAAAGGCAGCCGAATTGAAACGTCGCGGCGAGCAAGCCAGAGAATTGTCCGACATGGCGACGGAACGAATGCGACACGTCAATGAAATTGATCGCGACCAAAAACCAAATGGAACAAAAGATGACAGTACTAATGGCGTTGAATCACTGGATGATATGGTCAAGAAAACAAAAGGCATAATAGCCAAAGCCAATGTCAAGGGCACTCTCAACAAAAAGAAGCAACCCACCACAAAGGCAAAACCCAAAAAGAAACCAGTCGAGGATTCTTCCGATTCGGAATCATCCTCGGGATCATCTTCGTCTGGATCCTCCTCGTCGTCTGGATCATCTTCGTCGAGTAGTGGCAGTAGTGGATCGGCAACCACACAACAGGATGATATCACCATTGATGATTCCTATCATTCCAAAAACGAACCACCACCAAAGAAAAATGGGAAAACAACCAAAAAAGCAGCAACAACCACAAAGGCAAAAAAGACAAATGGTGTCAAGGGAAAAACAGCAGCCAAGGGCGGCAAACCACAAAAGAATGGGATCAAAAAGAAAAAATCATCGAAGCAAGACGACGACAAGGAGATGGAACTATCCGATCTTCTCGTCAAATTTGATGTCGAAGAAAACAGTGCTGTGTTTGCCGATTCCTTTGGAGCGTTTGAGGATTCGGACAGCTCTATGTAGCTTGCTTATTGCTTGCTGCCTGTGAATATGAGTTCTTGCTTTGCTGCAAAGACCCGTGGGACCAAAAAGAAAAGCTGGGAGAGAGGAGGAACAAGTGATGGAGAAATTCGGTGGTGCACAACAACGTTTTCTTGCCACGGAGAGAGTCAGTCGCGAGACTCTCCTCGTGCCGTTCCTGGATTTTTCGGCTTTCGTTTGCTAGCTCTTGACGATCCAATGTGTTCGTGTTTCTGTAGCCGCGCATGGGGCTACTGCGCTACTACTGTGATGTATTTTTAGTTTTCATAAACGTTGTTTTATTATTAAAGTATGTGCTTTTGTCTCAATAAGTCCGGACAAGTAACTGTTGTGACGGCTGGGTTTCGGATCAGTAGAACTCCAATAGGCCCCAGCTTGCAACCATCGCCACCGCCACAGGAAGAATCGACTAGACAGGCCTCAGAGCACCCCTCACAGAGGCTTTCACAACGAATAAAATGGCCACTCAGGTTGCACTTTTACCTCATTCATCTAAAGCACAAAGCGTTCCATGCCGGAAGGCGCCATGCTCGGCGCATTATCAGGCAGTGTCCACCCCCGGTGAGGTTTGGCAGAAAAGTACCGAGGCATCAATTCGTGTGAAGCTGGGATAGGTTGTGGACCCGGGGGGTGCGAAAGTTTTGGCTTCTTTCGTTGGACAGGGGGCTCCTCCTCGTCATCTGAATCAATAAGATCCACAAAGTTTCCCTTGAGTTTTGCTTCCTCCATGCTCTTGGCATAGCCATCTTGCCAACTTTCCACTCCCACGACATCGTGGTCGGCCTCTTTGAAATCGATTCCAGCCAGCATCATTGTCGCCTCGTGAGATTCGCACATACCGCTGAGAACTCCTAGCAGTCGGTTCCGACATGCAAGAGCTTTCTTTTTCCGCTTTTGGTCCTTCGAACCATCTGTATTTTGCTGTTCGTTCCAGGATACAGAATAAACACGATGGAGACTCTGCCTGATGTGACCTGAAAGCCCCATTATGCCAGCCTTAAGCATCTCGACCAACTGCTGGACTCCATCCAGGAGGTTTCCAACTGCTTGGTTGAAAATGATGTGCGCACCATTCGCAGCGTAGGCATGCAATGCCTTCTTCATTCTCTTGAAGTATCCCTTGCCGCGCTGTACGTACAGTCCTTGACTATAACCATGATTCATTTGTTGCGCCACGCTTTCTTGAAACGAACGATGCAGCTTACTCTGAGTTTCGCGGTGCAGCTTTTTCATGTCTCGGAATGCGGCCCTGATGTCCACGTCGCCGCTTTTTCTGGCTCTACCCTCCAACGCGTCTGCACGTGAGGCTTCCATACCCGCGTCCACAAGTTGCTTTCCAAGTGCACTAGACACGGTTTTTAGCAACCTTGTGGTCATCAATTGTGCCTGATTCAGTAGATGTGTGATTCGGGAGTCCATTGTGCGCTGCCATTGTCGACAATACACCCTCTCGACTGGTTCACACAGCTCAGCGTTCAGGTTTATCGCGCCTGCAGTGGATGACTTGAACACGCCCCCGTGCTTCAACGTAGCTTCGTATGTCCTATGATGCAATGCATTCTGCTCCGGCCCACGATGATCCTTGGTGCGGCAAGCGGTATCACTCCAAGAACTGACCGTACTCAGCGCAGAAGAGAATCCCTGCGAAGCTCCAACTTCCAGAGCGGGTTCAAGGCACTTATCCACCTCTTTTTCGGTCTCGCTGATGAAATCCTCAACAATCGGTCCCAAGCGCTGCTCTATCGTTGCAATCTCATTCTCAAAAGCCAGTTGATATTGGCGCACATCCGCCTCTTCCTCTTCTTCTTCCGCACTGTTCTGGCTGGCATAAAGCTTAATGCGCCCCAAGATGTCCTCTGCAGTAAGTGCGTTGGTGGAAACAAAGTCTGCTTTGAAGCTTGCCGTTGTCGCATGGACCGAGTCCCGAAGGGAAGGAATTTGCGTCTCTTCCGAAATCGTAAACGTACTCGGCGCCCCATCCGAGCGCGGCTTTAGCCCCTGAATCTTCAGGTAGTCGTTGGAACTAATGCAATGAACTTCGAGCTGATAGTCATCAGGTAGCGGTGGTGCAACATTGTCGGGTTCAGTTGAGTCGGACTCGTCCATTTCCTCTTCATCCGGCTGGCGGCAGAGTTGTTCCAGCCCAGCCTTGAAATCGCTTTGCAAGCTATTTTTGGAGTATTCGTTTCTCACCCCCGCCGCAGTAGCCTTGAGACGTCTTTGAAGCACTGCAATCTCGTCTTCGAGGTTCTTTGCTTTTGCTTCGAGTGCTTTCATTGATTCCTCGTTCCGCTTCAGCTTGTCCTTCGCTTGTTCCAGTTCCTCAGCTGAGCCTCCGTCCTCACTGCACAAATTATTGTCGCCTTCGATATCGCTATCGCTACTATCATTTTCACGTTCCATGATCCACTCCTCGAGCTCGTCCGTTTCGTCCTTGAATCTTTCTCTTTCTTCATGCAATTCGCTCAGTTTCTTCTCGATGCCATCAATTTCCCCCCGGCGCTCCTCCATTGCTTCCCATCGACCTTCGACTTCTTTGACAACATCTTCGTGGTCCCTTAGGACCTCCGTGGTTTCAACGTCGTCGGAATGCGTGCATATGAAGCTGACAATTCCATACTTTCCGTCCATCAACAGTCGACGTTTGAACTGCTCGCCCATCAAGTCTCTGGCAGTTTTGTCGTCCACGGCCCGCTTGATTGGAGCCACGATCCATATTTTGTGGCAGTTGTCCAGGTAAGTTTCGGCAACTTTTGCTCTGGCTGCATTGGCGTCTCTCACCCCAGGAAGGTCCACCAATACAGCGCCTGTAGAGAGGACGGCCCATGGACCATAGAGAGACACTTTGTTGATGAGTGGCCACGTCTGAGGCTCCTTGCCATTGCCCTTTCTGTAGATGTATTCATTGAGCCTCTTTCGGAAACCTTTGGCCCACTTCTTTTTCTCTCTCTTTAGTGCGCCCTTAAGGTCGGGAAGGTGATCGACAAGAATCTTTGCCTTATTGGCATCGACGCTCCCTTCCTCCACGACGACAGTGTTTGCCAGTTGACCATCTTGCGGCTTCAGTAACGACACGATTCTTCCATCTTTGCTAAGACGATCCCAGACTTGCTCTTTGGGATTGCCAGCAAGATTCTCCATGGTGCCGCGGCCGTAAACTTCATTGATCTTCTCCCAAGCAGCAGAGGCCTCGCTTTCGTCCGGCTTTTTCGGGTAGACTCGATCTTGCTCAGAGTCCTCGGACGTTGTACAGCATGCCTCCAGCAGCATCTTGAGCTCGGCAAGCCACTCTTGCAGCGGGATGAACTCCACTTCTCCCCTATACACAACGATTCTTTGTGCCCCGATAGCGAGGAAGTCTCGATTGAATCGCAACTCCACCACAGACGCTGTGCACCCACGGCTACAGGAGGTAGGAAGAATCTCAGACTCGTTCAACAAGGCGTTCAACAGCGAGGATTTGCCAGCTCCGGAGGCTCCCAAGCAACCAATGATGGTCTCGGGGCATGGTTTGCGTGCCAAGTCAGAAATTTCGTTGGTCCACTCTTGGCGGCGCTTCTGGGAGCAGAACTTCTCGTTCTCGGGACTATTCAAGAGTGCGAGAAGATTATTGAGAGTCGCGTGGCATTGTTCGTGTGCCTTGTCCTTTGTTGCATGAGGACCCTCCTCCTTCAACGCAGCCCCTGATGCTTTCAGTGCAGGAACCTTGAGATTCGCCTCCGCCCCGTTCGGGTCGGCATGCTTCATCATCGACCCACATGCTGGTGTTCCAGCGGAAACAAGGGCATTGCGCTCGACAGTCGCCGCTTTCGACATGTCTGTGCATGTAGCCTTCTTCATGGGGACCAACCTTGCAACTCCACCTGGGAGCATTCTTGAGGATTCGTCTTCTCCGCAAGTCTTGTTCGTTGCCTTTGGCGCATATTTGCAGCACTGGTCGTTCGGCACTGATGGCCGCTTTTTGCTGAGGCTGGTTATCCCTGTCCTTTGACAAGCCGTTCGTCGCTCTTCGTTGGATGACATGGCCGAAACACCGGTAGCAGTTTATGGTATCGACAAGCGCAAGTAATGTTCTTGCCCAATGAAGTCCAAGGAGGAGGAAGAGCCGACACTTGAAATTCACTCCCATCAGACTTGTCGGTTGATTGTCATGTTCCTCGATTTCCAAGATTCGGTGGAGAGGCAACAATGTGAGCAGAGTTCATGAATGATACGGGAGTGAAATCGATGAATTCTGTCAAACGGCCAAGCGGAAACTATAGGCTCCAAATGCGCTAATGGCAGTTGCTTTGTCATCTTTGCGTTGAAAGTCGTCAAACTGAAACAATGATCGTTCCAACGGTGGAAGGGTGCTGTTGTGCCGTTGGTGTGAATCATTATATGTGAAGGTTGCAGCGATCCTTGGCGGCAGCTCACCAGCATTGGTTCGAAACGGCGCCTTTCGCACCTCCAACATCCACATTCGCAAGCAGGAAAGATGGTACCAGCATCATTCTCTTGCTACTCTGGACATGGAAATCTATCGAATGACATCAAGCTGTCGACACCTGAACGAATAATAAACAAGAAGACACGGCAGCACGGCAGCCCAACCCAGGATCAGTCTCTCTTTGGTCGGTATGGGAAAAGCAAGAAAAGCGCTGAATCCGCAACTTTTCTCTCTTCCACCATGCCCAGCAAGTCAGATGACAATGTCACACAACAAACAACAACAAACAATGCGAAAGAGGGAAAAAAAGACACCGCTCTGATTCGAACTTTGACATAGTCGTACTTACTGCTAGGAGTTGACAGTCGGCCGAAGAAAATGCATTACGTGAAACTCGGGTAGACAGCAGACTCAGGCGTAAAAAAACTCAAAGTTCTCGCTATCTGTAACCACAAGGCAGACAACAACAAAACCAACAACAGCCAAACAAATCATGTCTATTGATGCCAAAAATCGAGGGAGCTGTTGCCCAGGTTCGAACTGGGGATCTTTCGATCGCACGTTGGCTGACTACAAGTCGAATGCTTTACCACTTAGCCACAACAGCTGCCTGTTCATTGTAAAAAAAAGAGATATAAATAAAATATGTTTCAAAATTTTCAAGAGGGAGCCCTGTCCCCACATTTCTACTCCTGTCTTCCTGGCTGCAATTTGATTATTGAGGTATTGGATAGATGTAGATGCATCCAAAAAGGGGGGATACGCCTTCTGGTTTCCCATAGGATGGGCGATTCTGCGTCTGCTGCTTGCCTAGCTGCCCGCAACCTATCAGGGAGCACAAACCAACTAAGGTTGCCTTCTCTGTGTGTCAAGTTGGCGGACCAGAGTTGGCACCAAATCCACAAGGCGACTTGTCTTCTGTTTTTTTGTCCGGTGAGCGATGCTGCGTCTTGCTGCTTGTCTGGCTTCAACCTATCTGCTTCGTTCTGGTAACCTTCCTGACCCCCTTGTCTGTCCTTGTACACAAGGCCGGTTTGCTATGTGGTTAGATTGGTGGTCTTTTAGTGGGTTGTACTCTACCCGATACTGTAGCTGGTTTGCCAGGACTGGTGGCAGTTTGATGGCTTGCACGGGTCAACCATTTCATCAATTTGGTCGAAAATTTCCTGTCAAAAGGGTTCTTTTATTGCCATTTTGCACTTTTCAATGAAACATCCCACGAAACTGAACACGTTTTCGAAGAAGCAAAGTGCCAAAAACCGCCCGACCGAGGAGTGCCCGTCCATGTTTTGCCTCGATTTCCCAATTCTGTTAGCGAGCACAAGCAGAAGTAACGGTAGCAAACACCATGATAACACCATGATGATATCAATATTCTCCTTGGTTGCATCCCTGATATCGTTCTTGCTGTCGGCTATTTCCGTGGGAGATGTGATTGCAGTAGACAACGAAAAGCTGAGACGTCAGGCAAGCGATCAAAGAAATCTTATCGTTGATGGAGCGAGAGGTAAGGCGAGAACAGATAATAGCGGGGTTGAAAAGTTGCCATCTGTTTATATGCATTGATGCAATTACTAAAGACATCATTGCATTACTGCATTAACAGCGGAGCCTGGAGAATTCCCGTGGTTCGTCTCATTGCTCAAAGATAGTGAAACGGACCAACCTGCCTGCGGAGGGACTCTCATTGCGCCAAATAGAGTGCTTACAGCCGGACACTGTGTGGTTCCAGATCCTTTGGTGACAGAACTGGGCCCGCCTGCTTTTGTAAGGCTCAAACACACAACTCACTCAGATGGAGTGACGGTGCCTGTTGATTGTGTCAGCTTGCATCCTGACTACAGTCCTCGGTACAATGATTTGGCTATCGTTAAGCTGGCAGAAAACGCCCCCAGCACTCAGTTTGTCGAGCTCAACTCTGACACGAGCTTTCCATGGGGTAAAGATGAGAGCCTGACGACTGTTGGCTTTGGGTCTACCTCAACCCTGGTGGGCATTATTGGCACTCTCCTAAACGGGGGGAGGGTCCCCAAGAGCAGACGTCTCAAGAAAGTTGTCACCAGAGCATTGACGGAAGCAGAGTGTCAACACGAATGGAATGAATGTGCTGATTACAGATATCACCTCTGCGATGAGCCTGATAACGATGGTCACTCATGCTACGGTTAGTTTCAGAGTGCTACTCCTATGTTTGGCACCATGCACTTGTCACCTCACCCTCCCATCATTGTTCTTTGTCTGTCTCTCCACCTCTTCAGGCGACTCGGGAGGGCCAGTGCTCGATGACTACCATGTCCAAGTTGGAATTGTGTCTTTCATAACGAGAGGTTTTAGATGCAATAGTGGTGCACCACACGTGGCCACCAACGTGGCACAATACTACAATTGGATTCTAAACGAGATACGGGATAGTACATGTTCCGACGACAACACATTGGGGTACTCTAAGGACTTCGTGGACCCTTGTCTTCTGCCAATAAACTCGACTGGAAGATCGCCGTAGTTATGGCCACCTTCATTATGCTATTGACTTCCGTCCATCTATACTTTTAATAGAGAGCTGTGTTTTGGTACAGCCATTGGTTAAAATAGAATAGATACTAGACTCGACTCGACTCACTCTACTCAGAAGTCCACCTCCAAAACATTCTTTCCAATCACCTTGCCACTTGCTTGTACTTCATGGGCCGCTTTCAAGGTGTCCAGGTTCAGCTTGCCCAAGCACTTGTTCACAATGGAGACGAGATCACGTGACTCGAACATTTCCGACACGCGGTTCAACAGCTTTTGCTGAGCGTCCATGTCTTCTGTCTGGAACATGCTACGGGCAAACATGAACTCCCAGCTAAAGGTCAACGCCTTGAGTTTGAAGTTTGGGAACTTGGTAAGATCCAAGGAGGTCGGGTCATCGATAATTGCGATATGTCCGCGGGGTTTGATTAACTCAATGATACCCTCGAGGTGACCCTCGGTACCATTGAGGCAAATGACGTATTTGGGTGTCAAACCAAGCTCCTTCATTTGCGGAGGCAGTGGTTCGCGATGAGTAATCACATGGTCTGAACCCATCTTTTTCACCCAGTCAATGGTATCTGGACGAGAGGCAGTGGACACAACCGTCAATTTTGTCAATTTCTTTACCAACTGTACAAGAATACTTCCAACGCCACCTGTTGTGTTATGCAGGAAAAGACGATATTTGTAAGCGAAATGCATCCGTCGTGACGGGCGTTGACGCACAATACAGGTACTGTCCTGCACGCACCTGCTGCTCCAAGAATCAACACACTTTGCCCTTCACCCTCTCCTTCCTTGACGCACAAGGAATCAAAGAGCAATTCCCAGGCAGTGATGGAAGTCAATGGGAATGCGGCCGCGTCGGCAAACGACAAGGACGATGGCTTCTTTCCAACGATGCGTTCATCGACGCATTGGTACTCGGCATTGGTCCCAGGCTTGGTAAACTCGCCGGCATAAAAGACTTCATCGCCCACTCTGTAGCTGGTGACTTGATCTCCAACCGCTTCCACGACGCCAGCCGCATCCCATCCAAGGATGCGATGAGGAGAACCTTCCGGCGCATCAAACCATTCTCGAACTTTGTAATCGACCTGGAAAGACGTTGCCAAAACCAAGAACGAAAATGGTGCGTTAGAAGGATCATGATTTTGAAAGCATTTTGCCACAAACAACTACCTTTCTCTACTCACCGGGTTGACTGAAACACCCTTGACCTTGACGAGCAAGTCCTTGGGTCCAGGTGTGGGCTTTGGAGCGTCCGCTTCGATCAGCTTGGAGGCATCTCCCTTTTCAATGTTTCCGTAGGCCTTCATGGTGATGACTTGCAAAAAAGGACTATAGTGTAAAGTCGATTTCTGGTGAGTTTTTCTTCGCTTGATTGTATTTTATGAGCTCGGTTCTGGCCATCCTGGAGGCTGACTTCGCTATTAGAGTGAAACAACGCTACTACAAGTACACATCTTTCAAGAGTTGTTCGCTATTAGCGTTTGTCGCGGGAGTGGCCAAGAGAAACACTGGATCTTTCTGGAAGCTTCTTTGAGTTGACTCATTCGACTCCATCAGATCTTTTTGGATCCTTCGATTTGTCAATCCAACAACAAAGCAAGCAACTAGATCTACAAAGCAAGTTTGTGGTTGTCAATAGACTGGCTCTAGCTAGTAGACAGGACTTGTCACGAGATTACCATGAGATTATCCTATCATTCTTTGACTCTTTGGATCTCTACAACTGCGGCCTCTGCAGCTTCTGCATCTGCCTTTCATTCTCGACCAGCTTTCTTCACTCGCATCGGCAGCCAGCAGTTCCGACAGTCATCCTCTACGGTTCGCAGCATGTCATCCACAAGCGCTGACACCCTCCGCGTAGCCCTGTGTCAATTCCATGTGACACCCGATAAAGAAAAGAACCACGCCACAGCCGCGGATTACCTCGATCGGGCCGCCGCGCAGGGAGCTCAGTTGGTCGTCCTTCCCGAAATCTGGAACTCGCCCTATGCGACCAGTGCCTTTGCCGAATATGCCGAGGTCTTGCCCCAAGTGGGAGACACACAAGCCACAACGTCTCCATCGAGTGCGCTCTTGATGGAACGTGCCAAACAACATAAAATGTGGATTGTGGGTGGGAGTATCCCAGAAACAGACGACGGTCAAGTGTACAACACCTGCTTGGTCTATGATCCCACGGGCACGGTAGTGGCCAAACACCGCAAGGTCCATCTCTTTGATATTGACGTTCCCGGTGGAATTACCTTTCGAGAGTCCGACACACTCAGTCCGGGAAATTCCTTGACCAGTTTTGCGCTTCGAGACGATTTGGACGTGGGTGTGGGCATTTGCTACGACATTCGATTTCCTCTGGCATCCATGCTCATGTGTCAATCCAAACCAAACTGCAAAATCATCATCTTTCCCGGAGCCTTCAACTTGACAACCGGACCCGCGCACTGGGAACTCTTGCAACGGGGACGAGCCTTGGACAATCAATGTTTTGTCATTACGGCGTCTCCCGCCAGAACACAGCCACCCGAGGAGGAGGGCAAGTATCCTCACTACACGGCATGGGGTCATTCGACCGTGGTCTCGCCCTGGGGAGATGTGGTGACCAAAGCCGAGGAGAAAGAGGCATTGGTGATTTGTGACTTGGACCTAGCACGAGTTGATGAAGTGAGAACGTCTATTCCAATTGGCAAGCAAAAACGAACCGATCTATACAAGCTAGAGGATGTGAAATCATCATCCTAGTATGGAAATTAGATAAGACGTGCTCTTCATAATTAATTTTGCATTATTATTACGCACAAGTCGGACTTGCGTGAATGTTCAAACTCAACTGTCAGCAACAGCCTCGGACGAAAGTGCCTCTACCTTCAGTTCCGAGGAACTATGAGAAACGTACCGAAGCCCGTACGGAGCCAGGCACTCTTGAAAGCAATCCAACTTATCTCCCGCAAGAGGCAATCGAATACCGGTAACTCCATGACATGCGCGGAAATAGCTTTTGAACTGAGACTGTACTAGTATGTCGCATACTTTGAGCTCATGTTTGCCATCCCTGACGTAGACATTAAAACATGCAAATGCAATTTCGGTGAAATCCCTCTGTCTCTGCAAATCCTCAATAGCTATGCCAATCCTTTCCAGCTTTTTTTGGTATATCTGCTTGCAGGCCACCACACGCGTGGCTGCGTCATAATTGATGCTACCTGCAATTGCATCATCAGGCACATCCTCAAACCCATAATACTGCAAGTCTTCTTGGAACGAAGCCTTGGAAATGCAAGCTGGAAGATTGACGTTTTGGGTGCGCATGTAGTTCAAGATGTAACGGAACTGCAGCCCGTCCCGATCAATGAAGATCTCCTCTTTGTTGGGTTGTTTCCAAGTTTCCGAAACCAAACGGGCCAGCATAGTCTTGGGGTATGCTTCAATGGTGCTCCTTGCGACCTCATATTTTGTTCCGCCAACGTTAAAGACAACCGTCTTGTTGTCATTGATTTTGGTTGAAGCTGACAAAACATGTGAATGTTTCGAAAGCTGTTTTGTGGCAGTATTGTCACAGCCGGAAACTGAAAGACCTCACTGAACATTCCCCCTGAGTCTCGACGTGGAAGCTGCAGCGAGACAACTCAACATGGAAGCTCCAGCGAGACAACTCAACGTGGAACATCAACGAGCACTGGAACAGTCATTGGATACCGTACGTAGCCAGACGCAACGCGCAAGAGTCCGACGGATCATTGGTGTCTTCGCTGAGCCCGCCGCTTCGTCGGATTCTTTCGATAGCGTAGGCCTCTTTTTTATGAACGTTGAAGAGGAGAGTCACACGTTGCTGCTTCGCGTGGATGCACATTGTCGCCTAACTAGCTAGCTAGCTCTTTTCGCTTCTTTTTTCCTTTTTTCGTTTCTTCTTTCGTCTTTCTGCATTGGTGTCTTCCTTGTCTTTTGGCTTGACTTGATTGGCAGTATGGGACAACTTTCCACCCAGGAACAATCTGTCCTGGTAAAGGAAGTGCTGCAGGATGGCGACGCTCGACGCTTCCCCGTCAGTGCACATCTTTGCGTCGTCTGCTTTTGCTTTTGGGTCGCCAGCACTCGTAACCATCGGAGTAACGATTGATTGACGCGACACTTGAAACTTTGGGTTGTTGTTTAGAGCTTGGAAAAATATAGAATGGACTCGGTTGTCGCCGCGTGTCGTTTGTTGTCGTGGTCCAATCGGCAATAGAACAAATAGGTCTCGACCAGCCCTTGCCTCGACGCCAGCTTCTTTGTAGAAACGCCGTGTCAAGTCCGTTGCACCGCTAAAGTGGGGCTCCAGGCTGATAACAGTACTTGGTTCGGAAGATTCCTCCTGATGTTGGGATGCAGCCACAAGTGCATTCATAGTTTGAGTAGCACGTTTTTCATTCCAGAATGCTTCTTCAGGCTCGTTCGTTTCTACGTTTTGTTCTTGTTGTTGTATCTTTTCAACCAATGCATTCAACACTTGAAACTCGGAAGGAGCCGCTTGATGCTGTTCGGCCAAAGACAACACCCATTCTTTTTGATGGAGTGTGACCACGGTCCCATTCAAGAGTATCAACGTGACGGTATTCTCCAACGGCGACGAATGGCCGGCACCCGCCAATCGACTCCGCCACAAACTGCACACCAGTACTCGTACCAGACACCAGAGCGTCCGATCCCGCTGTTCCAAGTCGGTCACAATTTGCCTTGGTTGGAGTGGCAACAAGCAAATAATGTGCAGCTGTGCAGGTCGATGGTTCGAGCGTGTTGTTGTTGATATGGGTTCCTCCCGTTTCCGTTTGCCCGTGGCTTGCTGTACCAAGCGTTGCATAGCAGGTCCCAGCCGCTGTTGGGCATGATGAAAGGCCACAAGGGCCAGAATCTTGCTAGTGAACTCGGGAACACTCCCCAGTCGAACCTTGACCAAGGGTATTGCAGTGCTGGATGTGCTGCAAGCCTTTTCCAATGCCTGATATTCTATCGGAATCATGTCCCGAACAGCGCCCAAAAACAGACACAAGTGGAGTGGTTTATTGTTGTCTTGTTGTTGTTGTGCCGAGTGTTGAATGTCGCCAAAGCACGGCAATTCGCAGTCCGAAGACTCGTGCAACGTGGCAGCAATTAGTTGACCTTGGTGTTGTCCTGCTGGTAGCAGAATTTCTTGAAAGATGGTAGTCAATGCCTGCAACTGTTCTGTTGCAGAGTCCTTTGAGGTTGATTTTGGGTTCTTCTTAGTACTTGTCGCGTTGTTTTGTCGATGCCACACATGATAGACTTTGGCCAGTGCTGTTCGATTGGCTTTGCGAAGAATGACATTGGGAGCAGAATTGAGTTTGTGTTCCCGTAAGAATTCCATAGAGCACTCTTTCTGAAGACACTCCAAAAGTTGTCGCTTGCTCCAATCCTGAATCACTCTGGTAGCGCTTCCACCTGACTTGTGGTTGTTGTTGTCAGATGGTGGCGACAGGGAGGACAGAACAGCCCAGCAGCACAGTCGTCCCTTGCGAACGGTGAGCTCTTCAATAGTAGCCTTGCTTGTTCCTGACTTATGAGAGGTTTGAATGGCTCTTGTGATTGCCTGTTTCCAGAGAGCAATGATTGTAAACTCGGTCGGAATCGCATCATCATCATCATCTTCTTGTTGATTGTCACTGAGTTCTTTTTCCAACTTCATGTGGACACGACAATAATCTCCATCATAGAACAAGATCAGTTCCCGACTATCCTCGTTGCTGTTGTTCCTTGGACCAAACAAGAAAGCTGCCACACATCTGACCAAGGCATCTCTTCGGTTCCACCATTGACTCTCGTCTCGTCGAGGACGGTACGAGTTCGCATCGGCGCCATTGCCAGTGCAGAACAGCACCACCTGGAGATGACATGGGCAACAGGATGACATGCCTGGCTTGTGCGCATGCTTGTGGTGTGTGCGTCGATGGATTTGGTTGTGGATTTGGATTTGTTTGACACGAAGCAGTCGTCAGCAGGATTGAATAAGTCACGTGAGGGACTAAAGATTCGACCTCTCCAAAGATGTGGTGCAAAGATTCTTCGCCCAAGAATCAACGGGTGGCAATGGGAAAGCTCTCTGAACCGGAAGTGACAGCAACAAGCTATGCAGTGCCAAGGCTATACCGTAGCATCAGATTCATCCACGCACTTGCACTGCAAAGTTTATCGAATCTACTATGGTTGCTGGACCGATGATGAACGCGGTCAGGCTCATCATCACGTTTGATTGCTTTCTTGCGTCATTATTGCTCTTCCCTTCAATCCTTCCTTCTTTTGCCTTTGATCCCTCTTCCTACCGGTACCACAGCCACCACACGATGATGAAGCAACCCCTCATTCCGAAAGAACTGGTCCTGTTTGAAGGATCACAAAGTGACAACGACCCGTCCTTCCTTTGCCTTTACGAAAACAAGATGGTCCAAGAAGAATCTGCCCAAGCTGCCGCTGCTGCCTTTGTCAAACGGTTGCGAGATTCGCCCACCACACCCAAAATGGTCGTCTTTGACAAGGATGGCACCTTGGGAGATTGCACCGCGTCGCTGCGTCGATGGGTACATCACATGACGGCCAAGGTGGAAAGCGTTCTGAAACACAAAAACTTGACAAAGCAATTCCACACACAGATTGGATGGGATGCCGCCCGGGACAATGTCGTGCCATCGGCTCCTGTCGCGGCCGGAACATGGGATGACATTGTCGGATTGGTTTACTCGTTCCTAATGGATCTTGAAAATGAATGGAACGTCACAATCATCACCAAGGAGCTGACGCTGCAATGGCATGAAGAACTGGGAGATTTGCATGGACAAGATACTCCATTGATGGATGATTTGCCAGGCATGATGAGGGCGTGTCAAGAGTTGGGATATACTGTGGCCATTTGCACTTCGGATGATCGAAATGGCACTGACAAGGCTATGAAAGGATGGGGGATTGACAATGTTGTCCAGTTTTCCATTTGTGGCAATGAAGTGTCCCAAGGCAAGCCCAGTGCCGTGCCACTGCAAACCTTGTGTCAGCAGGTATCGGCTGAAACAGCCACGACTATTCTACCTCAGCACTGCATTGTTGTGGGGGATACATCTTCGGATACTGGCATGGCACGAGCTGCAAATGCTGGATTCTGTGTCGGCGTCCTGACTGGGAGTGGGACTACCAGCCAACTCTTGGACACTGGAGCTCATTTGATTCTGCCTGATGTGGGCCATGTTCCGGAACTCTTGGAGACCTTTCAAAGGTTGGCAGACGAAGCACGACAGCAACAAGTGCACCAGTAGCCATTTACAAAGTGGAAACGCAGCTAATGCAGCAGCTACCAGGTACCATGAGATTTCGATCTTGCAGGATCGAGCGCCGAGGGCATGACAACACAGTGCACCCTGGCCGTTGCATAAGATACCCATCGAGACATGACGCCGAGTCGAGAGTATCATACTAGCTAGCAGAGTCGAGTCTTCATCGCTCGGATGAGCAGTTTTGAAACCAAGTACAAACCATCTGGTTTCTACATGCACAATGCAGTGGAGTTTTAGACTGCATGTACATGTAACACATAAAAGGTATCACTACCAAAATCTTTGTTATAGTATTTTAAAAGAACTGACGCACCAACGCAGAGATAGCACAGCGTGTGCAATGCAGCCCAACATGTAACATGCAAGCAGGCAAAACAAATACCACTTTCATCATCGTTTCTTCTTCAAGGGCGGACGTCCGTCCTCTACTAGAGCTTCGTTTCGCCAAGCAACGGCACGGGAGGAGGTGCGTCTCTCTCCGGCGTGTATGACACGACGAGCTGACCCTAGCGGCGCTGTCCTGTTGTTGTTATTATCAGCGCCGCAGAACAGAGTGGGATTGCAACTGAGAAAGTAAAAGATGCAGGAAAGATCATTCCTTACACGGGCCAGCGTTGCCACCCAAAGGTCAAATTCGGATGGTCTTGGCGCCGTTATCATGGTCACTGCAGACGAGGAAGGACTCGACGTGACCACTCTATCATCGTACACAAAGTCTTCATCCCTCTCGGCATCATCCACAACAGCACTCCTAAATTGACAGATTTGCTTTCTTCCAGCTCGATTCAATCGAAGATAGAACTTGACAACATCTGTCAGATCCAACAGGCCATGGTTGATCAAGATTTGCTGCAAGGTATAGTTTCCATTTTTCAGTGTTTGGGCCAGTCGCGTCATCCACAATTCGTTGGTTCTCATGGCAGCCAGGGCACCCCCCAAGGTTGCACCAGCACCACCCGTAGCGGCGGCAGCAATGGCCGTGGTAGTATCCAACCCATAAAAGATGACATTTAAATGTTGCAACGATTGGTTGACTTGGAGAGCCGCTGTAAAGGCCGTGGCGTACGCTTCTAGATCTGGCCGTGAACCCGAAATGTAGATTTCCAGGCTTGTCAGCGAGCACTGAGGGGACGCCAATGCATCCAGCAATGGGAGAGGAGAGTGTGTGGATGGTGCTACTAGCGGAAGGTGGCATTCCTCCAAGTTGTTGTCATCATGAATATGAGAAGTAGTTTGGGCTGACGGTTTGAGTTTGATCTTGAGCGCCAGTTTTTGCAGTGTTCGATTGACGAGCAGCATCTGAGAGAGATAGTGACAAGCATCGTAGTCTAGTACGCCAAAGATACGCAATTCTTTCATGGTCTGATTGGTCTGGAGGCTCTCGGTCATGTTCCGGAGGTAGTCACCGGTAATGGATCCAGTGGGCAGCACGGATTGTGACAGTAAGAGTTGCAGCTTGGAGATACTGGTGGAGCGACACAATGCCCCCAGAGCTTGACCCGAGAGTTCGGGCATGTTTTGCAGTGACACTTCTTGCAAGTGTGGTGCTTTGGACAAGGCTCCGACCATGGTGTCGAATCCACACCAAGCATAATGTTCCTCTGAATGATTGTTCGTGGTTGTTGTTTCTAAACTGCTGTGCTCCATACTACTATCACCGCCTGATGACACTAGAGACGCAGTGCGAGAATCTCCAAAGATGACGGATTTGAGTGTATGACATTGTGTCAAACAAGAGGCGAGTTTCTGGAACTGTCCCGTGGTGCCCAGCAGTTGGACGTGGGAGATGCGAATGGATTCAATACACCATTGTTGCTCTTGGGCAAACGCTTTCAAGAGACGATCCACAGGAAGACTAGGGTAGCGTTGCGGATTGTTGCGATTGTTAGCGGCTAGTACTTCATGGCCATTCTCATCGGCATAGCCGTAGCTGCCAGTCAGTGTCTTGAGCAGCAGTTGTCCTCCCCGTTGATACAGCGGTTTTCCATACAGAGACACATGCTCGTCGTCCGGGCCGAACCGCATGGTCTAGTTGTTACTCTAGCTAGAGGGCTCAACAACACGACGGACTGGTCGATCTTACAACTACTACGGTAGCTGGTTGGTTCTTCGGGTCAAAGCCGCCATGGAAGAAAGAGATGAAAGAATGATGTCTTGCTTGATCTTTCAAGTCTTCGTCCAATTGCTTTGAATGAACCTTGCGGGGCAGATTGTGAGAGGCGTCAGTTGGATTTTGAAATGACCGTTAAATTACTTAATTGACAGCGAAATTATGCCGACCGTTATATCCGCCCTCGCGTTCCTTGTCGACAAGCACCTCGAGGGCTCGTCCACAATGATCCATCAACAGCGGCTCTGCAAAAAAAGAAACAGCACCATGGGCAGCAATACCTTTCTCGTGTCGGTCATCTTGTTGTTTGTCGGGACGTTGGCAGCAGTGGTTACTTTGAAGAGCCAAGGTCGAAGCGTGGAAACCAACAAGATTGTTCCCTTGCCGCAAATTGGAGGCATGGCACTCCGGCGAGGTCCATGGCCCGGATGTTTGGGCTTGGAAGCCTCGAAATGCGTCGATATCGTCACGTCCTATGCGCCCAAGGTAGAAATCGAAGTCATTACGTTGGAGATGGCAGAGGAAGTTGCCGATGACTTCAATCCCAATCGAGTCAGAATCTACCTTGATGAAGATGGTCTGGTGGCGCAAATACCACTTCGCGGGCGGTAGCGACGACACTACAACTAGAGTTCGACAAGAGGAATCGTTGGATGATTTGGTTCCGTGAATCCTGCGTCGTGTATCTTCGTGTTTAAAGGATAACTTGGGATCTCCGAAAAGCCAGGATCAGGGAGGGGGGTGAGCCGAAGAGAAATCAGCAAGACTACTACCAGTAGCCAGTAGCCCATGCTGGATAACCATGTTGTGATGGCTGATGGATTGATTTGACCTACAATAATCTCACTGTGGATTCCACCACACCAATTCAGAATTGAGATTCAGAGGGTGCAATGCGATCTTCAATAATTGGTCTGCAAAACTATGTATAATACTAAGCATTTTGCTGCAAATACCAACTTGCGGATATGGTCAATTTTGTTTGCCTCCCGGCCGTTCCGTAGTCCACTAATGTCTATTCCCTAAAATGGGACATGACTGCGAACGAAATCCCAGTGGGAAACCCTAATCCAGTCTAGCCTTCAGGGTGTCGGGAGAAATGTGCACGCGCAGTCACATCCACAGAGAGTGCCTGTGCAGTCAAAAGTGGCAATACCACATAGTTCTACTGGGATGGTTCCAGCAAGAAGCGGCATGCCAGTCAAATCCAATGTTGTCAGCGTCGGAATAAGGGATATTTCAGGTGGTACAGTCCCTGCCATCATGCGATTGTTGGCCAGAGATAGAAACTCCAATTCCTGCAACAGTCCAAAGTGCGAAGGGATGCCGCCCGCAATCGTGTTGTCCGACATGTCCACAACTCTGAGGGAGGTCAACAACCCAATTTCAGGAGGTATTGGACCACCCTGTAGGTTGTTGTTTTCCAGCAAGAGACCCTCCTGCTGGCCATCTTCGTTGCAATAGCTTCCAGTAGCCTCAAACCAGACACAAGAATCCTGAACAGGAACAACTGCGCCTTCAGTCCAACTCCCCCCACTACTTCCAAGTGCAAGAAAAACACTAGCAAGTGCAAACCTCTGTACCCAGTCTTCTGGTGATCGAGATTCAATGTTTGGGTCGTAGTTTACAAAAAGGATTGCGAAGGCCTGGGGGGTAGTAGGATCTTGCAGAGCTTCCAGGGAGTAGTCTGGAAGAAAGTCTGTCAGTGTTGCTCCATCGTCGGGTACTGCTGGAGACGTAGTGTATCTGATTGTTGGGGCACTGCTATGGCCTACTGTAGGAGCCAAAGTTTCCATAGAAGGGGTTCCAGTAGAGGGGGCTGCAGTGGCAATAGTGGGTGCCATGGTTGGAGCTAGTGTGGGAGCTGCAGTGGCAATAGTGGGTGCCAAAGTTTCCATAGAAGGGGCTGCAGTGGGAGTTCCAGTGACAACAGTGGGTGTCATGGTTGGAGCTAGTGTGGGAGCTGCAGTGATAATAGTGGGAGCCAAAGTTTCCATAGAAGGGGTTCCAGTAGAGGGGGCTGCAGTGGCAACAGTCGAAGTTCCGGTGGCAATAGTGGGTGCCATGGTTGGAGCTAGTGTCGGAGCTGCAGTGGCAATGGCGGGAGCCAAAGTTTCCATAGAAGGGGTTCCAGTGGAGCCTGCAGTGACAACAGTGGGTGCCATGGTTGGAGCCAGAGTGGAAATAGTTGGAGCCAAAGTTACAATTGATGCAATTGAGGGATCCACAGTAGCTCCTGAGGGAAGAATTGTTGCCGTCACAACGGGGTCAACGGTTACTCCAGCTGCGGGAGAGCTGGAACCAGGAATATCCGTACCCATTTCTGCAGTTGGATTGTTAGCTGGATCAGTTAATGCATTGTTGTTCGTTTGAAGTGCTTCGGGGGGTGGCATTTTTGCGGTGGGAGAGAGTGTGGTGCTTGTGTCCTCTTGATCCTGAAGAGTGGGAGAGGGTGAGGAGGCTGCCGTTGCTGCAGGTATTGGAGGCTGTACCGGTACTTCATTTGCTTGTTGCTCGGGAGATGAATCAGAACGGCCACCACTAACAACTACGACAGCCACAGCCACTGCAATTGCACCGATGGCAAATCCAAAGCATACCGCAGCAATAACGTATAGAGTAGATCTGCTTCTTCCTCTTGAAGGCTCCTCTAACGTGCTGGGTTCCTTGACCAACGTAGCCACTGCCAAGAAGTCGGCATCATTTGAAGCGTTGTCTGATGCATTTTGACCTATGTTTGCTGGGGTGGGCTCGCGGCTTGGCATCCTGGCCTCGTATGATGGAGAATTTGGATAATATTGGGCCCCAGGTGTTACTTCTTCCAGCGCAGCTATTCCTCCAGGCCGATTGTTCGTGTTGTGGCTACTTCGCAAACCAGGTTTGCGCGCTCTTGGTGGCATATTGTTGTTGTCCGAGGGACTAGCCACAGCCGCTGCACCCTGCTGATGATGAGTGGCCAGGTTCAGATTGTTGGGTTCGCGAACTGAGACTGGCTGAAAGGTAGGCGGGGGCACAGGCACATCAGAATTCCTCCTCTCGCCAGGATGTATGTTCATGGCTTCAGTCTTGAGGTTAATCAAATTCTGGTCCCAAACTCCCGCGGTGGGGGAGGCAGGAACTTCGAGCACAGAACTTTCAAATGCATTGGATTGAGGGGGATCAGGTGCCCTGACTCGATTCCTTCGAGCGCCATTGTCATTGGATACTTCCATCGTTGTGGTTGAGGCTTTTCTCCTGTCACTGGGAAGGACTTTTCCTTTCTTGTGGTGGAAGGGTTTGGCAATGGGAGGGAGGGAGAGCGAAAGAAGCTGAGCTGGAGAAGCAAAATGGTGGACTCGCCACCGGGAGGGCCTCCGGTGACTACCTGATGACGTCACGGCTTAACCCAAAAGTTGGTGAGTCGCGAGGAGTCGCGAGAAGTCGCGAATAGTCGTTTTGCACAGTCGCGCGACTCCACGCGGATGCCACAACGACTATTCGCGACTTCTCGCGACTCCACGCGACTCCTCGCGACTGCTCTTTGTTTTAGCTGGTTTAAGCTAGACAAAGTATCGCGACTCCACGCGACTCCACGCGACTCCACGCGACTGTTAACGCGACTGTGCGCATCTGCACGCGACTGAGCAGTCGCGCGACTGCATGCGACTTTAATGTGGAAGCAGGCCAGTCGTGTTATTTGGCATCGGATCGCCAAAAGTCCACACACCGGAGGCCCTCCGGTACGGGTGCTTTTTGTTTTTCAGAATGTCACGTACGTATCCAAGTCTGAGAGGTACCAGTACAGTCAACTCGCTCTAATATTACTTGGGGGGGATTTCGGACTTCGGGTAATATAATAGAGAGAAGTAATATTAGGCTTTTCAAGGGCCGTTTCCACTAGTAAAGTACGAATGGATAGAGCCGTCACGTTTACGCTTGCCCGCCCTAGCAGCCCTAGCCACATTCAATGCCCTGGCAAACCTGTCAAGATGCACAGTGGCCGCCTGGTTGATACCCAAAGCAGAGGCACTCTTGGAGAGCTTGTTGAGTGCTTCTTCAGCTTCGGCAAATGAGGCAAAGACATCGGCAGGTTCCGGATCAATCTCCACTGGTTCCGGTTCCTCGTCATCAAGCACAGCCAGTTCGGCTTCTGTTGCTTCAACTTCGAGCTCTTCAATCTCTTCGTCGATGGTTGCGCTAATGACTTCGGGCTCGTACTGACGTCATTCGTCATTCACGGATATGCGGGACTGGGGGGGGGATCCGAAGAATCAGGTAATATAACAGCGAGAAGTAATATTAAATAAGTAATATTAGCGCGAGTAGACTGTACTGTCGTTTTGGCATCAAAGATTGAACAAAAAACATGTGCTGACATACCTGTAGCGATACATGTATTGACATGGGTTGAAGGCTTGATCCATCAATTACAGGAATGAAAATTTAACAAAACTACGGTAAATTGCTTCAAGTCAAGGGCAACCAAACCTTTTGCAAGGACCTTGAATTGGTCATTGGAGTGCCATAGTTTGACCATTTTATCCATGTTGTTGGTGTTGTTGGGTGCGCCGTGCTTTTCCAAACACAACTGGGATACCGGCGAGAACGCGGTGGGTGCATGGACGGGATGTGGAGGTCAGCTTTGAAAGTTGGTTCATGAATTTGCACGATCTTGCCTGTGTGAGAGTGAAACTACAGCACAAAAATTGTGTTTTGCCGTCTATAAACGAAAACAAAGCAAAACCTGTAGAAATTTATTTTAAGCTTGTTCCTCTTTCTAGTATGCACAGCGAATTGAGAATAGCTTTCTACTACTAGACCAAGAAGTATCAACATGTTTAGTCGCTCGTTGTGTCACTTGGAGTCGTGCTGTCCACGGAATCCTTGTGTCTCAGAAATGAGGTATATGCTGCATTGTTGGTTTCCTCCACGTATTGATACCCCAGTGTCCGAAGAAAGTTGTTTAGATTCTTGTCGCATGTTTCTGGCACCTGAAGACCGACGAGGACTCGTCCAAAATCGTCTCCATGGTTTCGGTAGTGGAACAGGGACACATTCCAATGGAAATCCAAACTCAGTAAGAAGCGTTGCAGCGCACCCGGACTTTCTGGAAAATCAAATCGAAAGATACGTTCGTGATCTGCGTGTGCTCGTCCACCCGCTAAATGACGAATGTGAACCTTGGCCAATTCATTTTCCGACAAGTCCAAGCATCCAAAACCATTTTCCTGCAGACTGTCCATGACGGCTTCAAAGTCGTGTTCAATATTCTTGACGGGTTGAAAGGAAACGAACACATGGGCACGGTCGTCCGTGTCGAAACGGTACGAGAATTCTGTCACATTACGAGGCCAAATCAAGGAATACAAGGCACGGAAAGATCCTGGTTCCTCTGGGATGGTAACAGCCAGAGTCTTTTCGGATCCATCGGCACGTTCGGATACAAAGCGCAATCGATCAAAGTCCATGTTGGCTCCGGATGTGATGGCAACAAGTGTTTGTCCAGTGATTTCATTGTCTTCCACATATTTTTTCAGCCCAGCCACTCCCAGTGCTCCAGCAGGTTCCAAGACGACTCGACTGTGATATTATATTTGTGAGAATGATGACAGGTACAGGAGACAAGTCAGCCTCCTTAATGTCTCTGTTTGTTGATTGCTTTTGTTTGTTTTTTGTGTTGTTTGGTACTTACGCATCGTTGTATGATAGTTTGATGGCATTACAGATTTGATCCGTGTTGACGGTGATCATATCATCGACCAGTTTGTTGCAGACTCGAAAGGTTTCCGTTCCTACAGTTTTGACGGCAGCCCCATCGGCAAAGAGCCCCACCCCGGGCAGTGTGACGACCCGTCCCTCTCGCAACGACGCCGTCATACCCGCGGCATCTTCGGCTTCCACACCAATGACTTTGACAGTCGGTCGGACGCGTTTGACATAAGCGGCAATTCCAGCCAACATGCCTCCACCACCACAACACACAAAAATGGCATCGAGCGGTTGTGTGACGCATTCTTTGAGAATTTCCATTCCAATGGTTCCCTGTCCGGCAATGACGTAGGGGTCATCAAATGGATGAATCAATGTCATGGCTTCTTCATGTTTCAGTCGTTTGGCTTCGGCAGCAGCCTCGTCGTAATTGTTACCAAACAATCGTACTTCTACAGTGGGACCACCGTGTACCCGCACGGCGTTGACCTTGATGGTGGGTGTGGCCAATGGCATGACAATGACGGCTCGACATCCCAACATTCGTGCCGACATGGCCACTCCCTGGGCATGATTTCCAGCCGAACAGGCGACGACACCACTGGCTAATTGGTCCTTTGTGAGATGAGCCATTCTGTTGTAGGCACCCCGAATTTTGAAGGAAAAGACTTGTTGTGTGTCTTCTCGTTTCAGAAATACCTTGTTTTGTAGTTGCTGATGATGATATAAATAATACAATTGTGGAATTCGTGGAACAGAGCGGCAAAACCAGCAGGCAGGACAAAAATAATGGATTCAGGAACACAGTCAGAAACAAAACAAAAAACAAGTACAAAATGAGATTGACATCTTTCCAACAGCAGCAGAGCATCATCAGTCTCTTCTTTTTTGTTTCTTGTGTTTCTTACAGCGGATAGATTCTTGGCGTGTTGCAATTCCGTTTCTTGTGCAGCATCGTAGACTCGAGCATTAAGAATTTTGGAAAGGTACCCCACGGCATGTTCCTTGGCATTCAACAAGACGGGTTTTCCTTCTCCATCTTTGGTGGGAAATCGGATCATTTCGGCATCTTCGGTCGACAGTCGGGTACTGGATGTATTATTATTAGTGTCGTCGTCTGCTTGGGCTGCTGTGGATTGAAAGCGGGGCCATTGTGTGGTATCAGTAGTCGTATTGGGACAAAGCAGGCAGCCGCCAAGACGGTGATGAGGAGAGCCCCTCGAGATCCCTCGTTGCAATGTCGAAACAACCGTAGTTCTTGTCGTTCTGGAAATGCCCAGCATGATGGATTGATTCAATATAAATTTAAAAGCACAGACAGGGCACCGGTAGGGCGATCGAAACACAAAAAAGTGATGGATGGGCACAACACAAACAAAGAAAAAGATGCGGAACTGAGCAGACAGGAGAGGAAACAATGGCGTCCACGGAGTCGTCTGTTCTTCCTGATGTTGATCAGACCTGCAGCTTGTTTTCTAAGAGATTGCTCGCGGGGTGTATGACAATCAATAACGCTGTTCAATAAACTATTGATAATGATTTACACCCCAACTGTCAGACGTCCCCATCTCATTTTTCCACCACGTCACACTTGGCATCACTTCATCATCTACGCATTTCATTGGACAAACGTCTGTTTGCTTTTGGATCCTCCCAACAGCTTCAATGAACACGGTAACCAAAAGCTGCGGTGGTATTCCGGACATTCCCCACTTCTTCGGTTGCTATTCAGCTTCATAAAGATATCAAATAAACAGACAACGAAACAACCATGATGAAATCGATCCTTAGCCTTCTTCTTGTGGCCGTGGCCGTCAGCGGTTTCGCGCATCCTCAACCTGTCAAGACGACTTCGACGACTCTTCAAATGGGTCTCTTTGATGGATTCAAGCCCAAGAAAAAGGAACCAGAACCCAATATAGTGGGAGGCATGGACGCCAATGTCTTTGGAGGAAAAGGAAAGAAAATCACCATTCGTGATGACGAGGACAATGCCATGTGGATTGACGAAGATGACAGCGGAAACCGCAAGCCAGCCAAGGGAAAATAAATGCATGTATTTGGAAGATTGATTGAAAGATGTGTATTATCATGGTGATGGATGGATGGATGGATGGGTGGATTGACGACGAGAGAGTGGAAGGAAATTGGACAACGCTAGCTTTATAGCTACGGCTGTTGGATTTATTTGATTTGGTTGGCGATGATGGGTCGCCATATTGATTGATTGATTAGATGAGGTGTTGATGGCATTCCAAGGAAGATTCTTTGGATCCAGGGACAGCACCCCCACTGACGCATTAGATTTCTCTTGGGTCTGTATCATATTTAGCAGGAATGCATAATGAAGCTAGCTAAGGAAAGAAATCAAGTGTCTCCCTTCGTTGAGGTGATGCATATGGAGCTACCGTAGTTAGAGCTGGTTTGATCTTTGCTATGATTGCCTTGTCCAAAGTATCACTACATCTGTCTAGATTCCTCTGCATACCGGTACCACGCAGTAACCAGGAAGCAAACCATGTAATGTTGTGATTGTTAGTCAAGCCTGAAGTGCTGGTGACGTGAACGAGAAAATAATAAGGGTAATGAAATACTAGCTGGCTCGTTAGTGATTTTTCTTTGATTTCTTTGTTGGGTTGTCTAAACGAGAGCCTACTACTGCTCTGAATGCAATCTAAGAATGGCTTGTTGAGTGTACATGTGTAGTATGTATGCAGTGAGCAGCTAGCTAGCTAGGTGCCATTCAGGTCTCTAGAAGCCTCCGCGACCATAGTGCGAGCCACCGCCACCACCACCACCGCCGCCACCACCGCCGCCGCCACCACCAGGACCGCCTGAACCTGGTCCATACGTAAGATCAAAGCTGGTTCCAAGTCGCCCCGTTTCCTTGGCAAAGTTAATTCTCAGTACTCCACCGTTGATCACAGAGCTAGAAAGAGCTTCCCGAGCACGAACGGCTGCGTACTTGTCAGACGTATTGACAAAGGAAAACGTACCCTTGGTCACCACGCCAACGATTGTGGCGTACTGACCAAACACCTCGCGCAGCTGCACTTCTGTTGTTCCAGGGCCATAGCCGGCCACAAACAGATTCTTGGTGGCGGGGTTGCCTCTGTCATCCCGAACTTCCTGAGGAGGCCCGCCTTGGTCAAACGGAGGGGGTTTCTGTTGGAATGGTGGCATATCATTGCGATGACCCATGCCAGGCGGTTTTGGCATGTCGGGTCCGCCACGAGGACCGCCTCCGCCAAAGTTGCCGCCGCCGCCGGGACCAGCGGGACCACCACCTCCAGGAAAGCTTGGGTCGCGGCCACGTCGTTGCGCCATGTTGATACGAATAGGCATACCGCAAAGCATGGCACCGTTCAAGGTCTCCCTAGCTTGTTGTGCACCCATGGGATCGCTGGTATTAACAAAAGAAAAAGTACCCTTCATGACAACCTCGTCCACTTTGACAAACGGAGCGAACAGTGTAATAATATCAGACTGAGTTGCTGAAGGGCCATAGCCAGATACATGAAGATTCCCATCAGAGTTGCTATCACCTCGATACCCTCCGTTTCGAGGCCCTCCCCCAGGAAAGCCACCGCCGCCACCAAAAGATGACCCAGAGGCTGGTCCATACGGCGAAGTCGATGAGGACGCCGAGGCAGGGCCATAGATTCCACCTCCCGAAGAAGGCTGATAGGACTGACTACCATAGCTAGGAGGTGCAGGTGCGGGGGCTGGGGGCTGGTATCCTGGCAAGCCTCCAATCTGCCCTCCCGGAGGAGGCTGTGGTGGCGCCACGTTTTGACTCAGCGTCTGGACTAGGCTCATCAGCCGCGGCTGGTCATACATACCATTAGGGTCCACTAAAGTGCTAAGGAGACTAGGAGAACTTGCTAGAGTCTGCAATGCCTGTACATTCTGCCCCACAAGGAACATCGGCAAGCCGAGAGACTGTACCGTTTGGGCGGTGGCAGACTCGTGAGCACTCTGGGGTTGCGGATTGTATGCCGCTGGAGGTGGTGCACTCGGCAGGGCGGGTACATGACTTGGAGGATGTGAGTAGGGGGTCGGAATAGCCGCTGGAGACGGCGGAACAGCAGGAGCAGGCGCACTGGCTTGGGGCACAAAGAAGGGAATTGATGCCACAACAGCAGACGCAACTGAGGTCATATCTAGTGCCTGCTCGACATCACTAAGCGGAGCGGGACTAGCGGGGACCTGGTCTTCGGACACGTATCGAACCCTTTGAACTTTCTTTTCCCTCTCAGTTTGCACTTCCATTTGTTTCGAGACTAGTTGCGCCTGTGCAACATCGGGGTTTTCAGGCAACAAAGCCGGCACTCGCCACGACATTGTTGGCTTGATGCGCGATACAGTCTCGATGTCGTTGTCATCGTCCATAAGCTTTGCCTTCCTACGGTACAAGAAGAGTGCAATTGTACAACCATGAGATATTGACGAAAGAAGACGAGCGGTGACGAGAGCACAGGCACCAAAAAAACACTCACTTTGCCTTGGCAAGCAGTTCCTTTTCTTTCAACCGATCACGTTTCTTTCTGTCGGTCCAAGATACCTTCGAGTCATCAACGACTTTGGCAGGATCTGCTGGTGACGGTGATGCTGTAGAGTCAAGCACACGAGAAGCGGAAAGATTTCCTCCGAAATGGTCAGCCCACTTGACCCTCTTCGCCTTTCGGGATCCTACAGAATCAAGAAACAGAAAAATGAGCTCGAGAAGGCAAAAGTAGAAGACGGAAGCCCGTATAACGTACTTGGAGTGTCGTTTAGGACGCCGCTCTTCGATGGTGTTCTGAGTGGCGTATTGCTTGCGCTGGCCGGGACTTTCGTGGGCGTCGAGTCGGTGACTTTCTTAAGGAGACTTGAGAAGGCATTCGTCTTCTTTTTCTCCTCGACCTTGGCTTTCTTGGCAGGGCTCGGCGCCACAGATAGGATCCCTGTGCCGTCAATTTGTCGCTTTGGGGAGGCTGCTGGAACCTGCGCCCAATCGGGTTCGAAGCACAAATAAGCCAAAGGATCTCGGGTTCCAAAAACGAAACAATAATCAGCTTGTTTACGCACCTTATCCTTTCGAGCCTTCACAGAGGCATTCCATGCTCCTTTGATTTTGTGCACCCGTTCCATGATTGCCGATTGATTCGGGGTGCCAGCGCAAATCGAGTGCTTTTCTATGGATCCTATCGCTTTGCCCATTCCGGATTGCTTGACTAGCAGCTTAGTTACTGGCAGGTCTACGATGTTGCTGAGCAAGTGGAGCAACAAGTCCACGCCACCTACGTTTGTCCCAAGCACATCGCTAACGTTAGAGAAGATCCATTGCAAAACCGCGACATTTACAATGATCGAAACGATGAACTTGAAGGAAATAACTCACCCACGGCGCCCTGCAAGATTTGGTCATACCAAACCTTCACAGCAGAAAGGTAACCGTTATCTAGGACTGCCTTCAAAGACGGACTTGCTGTATTCGTTGACCCGACAATTGCCAAGATAATGCACCGGCGAAACTCTAGCACCTCGTTGGATGCACCGCCCGTACCCTGTTCTGCCATCTACGCCGAAAGAGGAAAGGAAACGGTGAACATGAGGCGCATCTAGGCAATTCCAGCCAACAGCAGCAAAGAGGATCAGGACTATGACAAGAGGCCCCTAGATGTCATTGCTCGTAGAATCAGCGCGAAGTCGTGTTGGTTGTTGTTGCGGGATATCTGGCCCTTGCAGCTACATTCTAGCTTTGACTATGCGCGGAACTCTCAACCGATCCCATGACGGAACTAAATTTCGGATCCGGTGTGTTGCGGCCCTTTGGGTGCAGGCCTTTGGAACTAGCTAGTTCATTCTGCTACTTCGATTCTTTCAGGTAGTCATCTTGATTGTAATTTCAGTTTGTAGATGGGGGAAGCAACAGCGCAACCTTTCGGATTGAAGACTTCGTCGACCTGGGCATCTGCGTGGCGATCGAATGAAACTGCCTTGGCATCCAACAGAGATACAAAATTTCGTCCGGCACAAGCGTTCTTGCTGAAAAACTGATGCTGTAATTCGCAGAACCCCAGAGATTGTCGTGGTGCTTTGTGATCGAGCATAAGCTATCGTATGGATACCCTCTGCAAGCGCTTTTTCATCTCTACTTTGTCTAGCATATGTCCAAGCAGATATCAGGGTGCTAATTCCGTACTGATCCCGTTGATCTACTTCGTTGGCTTTGCGTAGCATGTCCGCTGCGTGGTGGGGTGGGCTGTATCCTCGAGCTTTCCTACTCTCGGTAGTCGACTGGTCTCAAACAGGGGCTTGAATTTCTGTTGATATCCCTGCGCCTGCTCCTATGGAACTATCTAGCTTTTCATGGATGCAATTTCCCTCTATCGCGAGAAGACAACTAAACTAGTTGGATCTTCTTTCGTTGTTTCCGTTCCGTGATGAAAATGAGTCTTTCGGTTGGAAAGGAAGTCATCGAACCAGAGGTGTGCTACGGATAGCTAAGGTAGAATGGAGCGGGGCTCCTAGATGACACGCGGCTAAACCATTCATCTCGTAACATCTCGTCGAAGCGATGGAACCCATGAATTCAAGCCTCTAGAGGCATGTTTCGTGGCACAATCCAAGCTGCGTTGGCTAGTCCCCTGCTGAAGACGCTAGTAGTAGTAGCTAGCTAGCTAGAAACACATGCTTCAGCTAAGAGAGGCAAACAATTCCCAGCCTATCCTTGCCCTGTGAATTCCAAATCAGGGTGTCTTCAGATGCCCCGAAGTAGAGGAAGGGCATTTCCAAGTGCGCCGCTCTTGATTGGGTCAATATGACCAGACGTCGGCCAGACCCTCCTTTCCTAGTTCCGGCCTTGCCCTTCGATCGCTGTGATCACAAGGAAACACAACAAGCGCGGTCTAGAAGACCCCACGCCGCTGCTGCTACTGGTCATCCCAAACGATTGAACGAGCCCAGAAAGGCAGCGATGATCTTGAAGAGTCGAGTGTCGTGCGGGCTCCACGGTGCGCCTTCAGCCCCACGCCTTCTTGATTGTAGAGCTTGCAACCCAGCGAGACTTTCTTGTTCTATCAATGGTTCGTTCTTCTTTTTCCTGCGTCTATGCGGGGCCTCTTGCTCCTCTTCGTCCTTCCTTGTCTCATGACCCTTCCCCGCAACCTCATCAACTTACCTTCATGACAGCCGAGAAATCCGAAGCGACTTGTCCATGCGTCGTAAGCGAAAGGCCGCCTGCGCAGCGAAAAAAGGCAAAGAACAGGGCATGAGATACCAAGCCACGAACGATAAAGCACTCCAAGAATGAACCAGCAAGCGACAAACGGATCCACTTTCTCGTTGCTCTTCCACACGTACCTTGCACATCAAGTACCTTCGTGACGGCCGCTTCAAAGCCATCACCTGGGGGCATTCTATTCTCTGCTAAGAGAGATGGAGGGCATCTGCCGCTGGCTCTTGCCCGTTGCAACAACGCCATGGTCGATTTTTGCTTTTTTCCGCTGTTGTTTATTGTCAATCTTTGGTGTGGGATCGCTGCTACCACGATGGCGATCGTACATTTAGTACTGGAGAAACTCACGGTAGAGAATAGCGGACCGTTCGAGGCGGGGGCGCGTGTTTCCTTTTTTGGGACCTCGCGCTCTAAGAGACCAAGGGTCAAGGATACTGACCGGTACCGGTACCGGTAGGAACAAATGTGCGGCCAGAATGACGTCTTCGCATCCTTTCTCGCCCAAAAGCAGCTTCCACAAAGACACGCAAAACACGAAGCAAGCAATGATGAGGTCCCCATGGTGGTCTGTGGTAATGGCAGGTCTGCTGTTGACCCCAACAGCGCATGGATTATCGCTTTACATGTCTGGTTCCAAGGAGATCTATGGAGTGAGAAATTCTGGGTGGAAATCGCCTCAATGGAACTGGGGATACGCCCAGGTAAGTCCAGGAGACAGATTTTGCTATTTTGTCTCACGCCCACGATGAAAGCAGTATGCCGCTGACATTTTGTCTTTTTCCTGCATCAGGGCACAGGCCATGATTGTGCGGCCATTTGTCGTCGTCAGTGGTCCACCATGGAAGCGCGACAAGAGCTTGTGGAAAACTTGTTAGAACCAGCTGAGGATCCCGAATCGAGACGGCCCAAGAACTTTGAAGAAGTCAAGCTTGTTTTAGGATTGGCATGGCAACGGGGTCGGTGGGATGGTTCCGATGGAGGTTCAGGTGGTTATGGAGATGTACTGCGTACCATGGCAGAAGCCAAACGATACGAAGATGGAACCGATGATGAAAATGCTCTACGACTGGTAGAAGACATGCAATGTCGCTTTGATCTTTTGGCAGACAACACGTCGCTAGAATTGCGCGAAATGAGAGCACTCTTGGATGGTGACGCTGCGGAAGACATGGATTATGTACAACGACAGTGCAGTGGTCTAGTTTTGGAAGCAATGGGGTTTATTGAAAAAGGATTATAAGCAAAGTTTGTTCTCTTGCACAATCCTTAACAATAGCTCATCTAGCTAGCTTCGCAGAGCCTTGATGAAGTCCTTCATCCCCAGGACAGAGTACTCATCTTTGTATCGTTCCACTAGTGCGTCAAGGTTGTACCCCTCAACACCCCCCTCCTCGCTTCCACGCTCGTACTTTTGATGGCTTTCCGTACGTGAGGTGAAAATATCCAGCAAACGATCAGTTCCCATACTGAACATTGTGGAATTGTCCGTGTTGACAATAGCGTTGCTCATGGCAAGTTTCTTCTCCTGGATTGACATAATCTTCTCCTCAATCGTATCTTTTGTAACAAGACGATACACGTTCACAGTTCTGGATTGGCCGATTCGATGGGCTCGATCAGCAGCCTGCAGGTCCGCATGTGGATTGAAGTCACTCTCCAGGAAGCAAACAGTATCAGCACCTGAGGACCAAGTTGTGTTGTGAGAGAGGATGTTGGCTCCGGATATCGAATATGCACTGTAAAAAACTAACCTGTTAGATTCAAACCCAAGCCACCAACCCGAGTGGTCAAGAGCATCAGCTTGATACTAGGGTCATTGTTGAATGCGTCCACAATTGCGCTTCTCTTCGTGACGGGTACACGGCCATCCAAACGAAGGTATCTCAGTGAAGGCATGTGCCGCTTCACTAACAACTCTTCCACAGCATCGAGGCTTTGTGTAAACTGAGCAAACACCAGACACTTGGAACCCGAATCGAAGGTATTTGAAGGTGCACCGATGACACTGTCGCTAGCCTGGATTGGATCCAAAAGCATGGATACGTCGTCACCGTCGTCTTCGCCGTCATCGTGTTGCTGGCAATAGAGCAAGGACGAATCGTTATCGGCTCCAGTAACCTGATCTCGGTAGATTCCACAGGCGCCCAAGAGTTCCAACAGTGCCAGGAACTTGCCAGACATGTCAACGTCGTAAGTCCGAGAAACCTGGTGCTCAGAAGACGCATTCTGCTTGTACTCGACCAATGACGGGTGAGTGCAAAGCAGTCGTAAAAATAACAGGCTCCGCAGTGCGTTGGACCCAATGTTCATGTCATCTGTGGATGGTCCTGATGTGGCGAGCCGAAGAGCAGTTTCGAGCTCGTGCACTGATTTCTTTCCCTCTTCGGATGCCAAGAATTTTTCTTGGATCTGCCTTTGGTAGACGCTCATTCTACATGGTACGGTCGATACGCATTTGGGGGGTAACTCCTTGAGGACTTGATGCTTTTCGCGTCGTAGAATGAAAGGCAATACCTGCTGATGCAAAACCTTGAGTTTGTCTCCCCCCAGGCCAATGCTTTCCGCACTAGCGCCGGCCAGATGCCCCTTAGTGATGGGATTGGCAAACTCTCTCGCGAACGACGTTGAGCTACCAAGAAAGTTGGGCATCAAGAAATCAAAAGCAGCGAATATCTCTTGCACTTTGTTCTGGACTGGAGTTCCAGTCAGGATCAGCTTGTGGTGTGCCCGAATGCGACGAGACGCCCTTGCAGTAACTGTGGGCAAAGAAAGAAACCGTCAGAATAGGGAGTAACTCGTTCAATTGGATGCTTTTGGACAAGTTTCTGTTTGATGAAGTTTGGCTTACCTGTGTTTCTATTGCGTATCAAATGACCTTCATCAAGACAGCAGAACCGCCAGCATTGCCTAGTAAGGATGGCAACATCGGCTCTCAAAACAGAATAGCTTGTGACCACGATGTTGCATTGTCTTGCTTTGCTTTCCCACAGCGCTTTCCGTTCCTTTGCATTGCCGATGAGAGACAAGCACGTAAAGATTGATTCGTTAGGGAAGAACCTTTCAATTTCAGCTTCCCAGTGGCCCACAACACTAGCGGGGCAAACTACCAACGACTTTGGTCCCTCCGGCATTGAATCGTTACATGCATCTACATGTGAGATTGCGATACCAATCAATGCTTGTAACGTCTTTCCTGGTAACAAGGAATGCAATGAGATAGATCAAGTTGAAGGCGTCGTCAATCGCGCAAAGGCGGCACATTCCATCACTCACCTAGGCCCATGGAGTCGCAGAGAGCGCCATTTAAGTTTACGCTCTGGAGAAACTTTAGCCATGCCACGCCCTCCATTTGATACGGCCTCAGTGACACCCCACCTTGTCGCAACGACTTCTTTACTCTCGGAGGCAACTCGTACGGCGGCAACGGACGCCCATGTATCAGATGGTCAATGACAGAGTCAGCACCAGACGCGTCCACAGCCTTCTGTGTGCCATTGCTGTCTTCACAGGGAACCAAAGGAGCCACGCGAATCAGGCAAGCAAAAATAGCGTTCGCTAGCCTCGCACAGTCCGGTGAGGGGTCTGCCATGAGGGACATGACAACTCGCAGAAGACGGCGGACGAATGTACAGATTCCCATCCCAACAGTGTCAACAATGTCTTGGAGAGTCTGGCAAGCCGACAATCTGTACGAGTCGTTTGTCCGGTCACTCAAACAATCAATGATTCCAGGCATCGCAATTTGCAAGGCATGGCTGGTGTGATCCGCACAGATGGCGCGAACAATCATACGAGACGCAGATTGGCAGTTGTCGTCATCAAGCCGACATGCCATCAAGGTAAGCTTTGGCAAGAACATCGTTATTGTAGCTGAAGCCAACGCACAGTCATTGGGGAGACCCCCAAGCACAACTTTCGCCAGAGCCAACGCGTTGAACAGACCGTCTTTGGCGCAATTCTCATCGAATTCTCCCTGCAGTGACTGTAGTCGCGACCAGATGGGAGGAATGTCTTGAAGAGAATGGATTCGGCTAGAGATTTTATTCAGATATGATTGAATCACTCTAGCAAACGCAGCGCTCTCCCCTTGTTCATCGTCAATGTCGGACGAAGCGTCCGAGCTGATAGCATCGCACATTGTACTCAAAACTTTCTCGCGGGCCTTATGGAATGGATTTGCATTCTCACGGGATTCCTGATACATCAAGCTGAGCATGTCTGCTGCAAAGCTACAACTGTGCAGTCTTCGTAATGGATCCTTCTCGTTCTTCAGAGAAGTCATGAGCGGGCGAATGACTGGCGTTGCCTTTTTCAAAGGTATTGTCCCATTGTTGCCAGCAAGGACAGCTCCCGCCAACAAAGCAAACCATCTCATGGAAGAACGAGTGGCAATAACTTCACTGAAAGTTGTGGCGAAAACTTCTTCTCGTCCTCCCTTTGCGGCGATCGTATGTTTCCACAGATTTCTGATGGTATCCACAGCATTGGCAATCTTTGTATCCGACGTATTCTTCTGGCTCAAGGCAAAGCCATTCAAGAAGCTACTGTGGCACACCTTGAGCATATCACGGTCTTGTAGAACCTCACGAGTGTGATTGCAGATATCAACTGCAAGACAAAGCGGGGCTAGCTCGTTGTGCCCTAAAGTTAGCAATTCTGTGATTGATTGTCGACAAGATTCCAAGACTGGAAGAAGGGCTTTGCTTGCCAAGCACGTTGGATCATTGGATACTTTGTCCGCAAGAGAGCAGAACAGCAAGCACGCTGCCTCGCACTGACCCAACCACGGAGAACGCAGCATAGTTTTGATGGTGATCTCAACTAGATCAAGATGGCAACCCATTGATTCATTCGAAACACTGAGGAATATGTCCGAAAGGGCTTTGCCAGCATCAAGGAGAACAGTCACTGAAGTGTCCCCTCTTGGCAAGCGAATTGTGTTGTCGTCTGCTCGTTCCTCTGGTGATATGCCAAAGTAAAGGAGAGTCAAGCGGTAAACAAGAGACTGGACCTGGCTGCTTTGATCTTCCCTCGTCGCTCTTTGCCGCAGTATTCGAACGAGGTTGTCCCAAGCTAACGTGCGACCAGCGCAGAGGTCTGCTGATACTTCCAGGTCTCTCAACGAACTGGTATTTGACCCTTCCACGTTCGCCCGGTTTTGATTGCCTTTTTGTTGGTTCATGATTTGTTGACTCGAGGACAGTAGTTGATCTTCAAAAAACATCAAGAACAGCTTTTCCTGCAGTCTGTCCAATGCATCACACACCATTCCCAAAGATCCCCCATGATCTGCACCTGCGCTCCAAATTGGGTGTACCACTTGGGCAACGGATCGAAGGGCTGCAATTCTGACCGAAGCCAGATCATGGTCTACGTAACCTCCAAAGACAAAGAGCATACTCGGTCCTCCATCCATTCCCTCCAAATCGCTGTTACGATGCTCGAGAATCAACGAACACAGAGTGATCAGGTCGAGGAGCGATGACGACACACGTCGTGTCTTTTGCAGCGCCGTCCACACTATAGTCAGGATTTGAGGATCGTGTATGGAATCATCCCCAGAGAATGCCATTGCTAGAATTTGAGCCGCAACACTCTGAACATCATCGCTTTCTTCATCCTGCAAACAATTGGAAGCCACTTGTGCAATCTCCTCCACAAAAGTTCTTGTGGCTGATTTACCAGTGACTTGCACAGTACAAATATATTTCAATGCCACCAGAGCGCCATGACGAACTTCCCAGTCCGTGCTTTTTTCATTGTCTTGTGATGCCAATCGGTACAAAGCTTGCAGGGTTTCCTTTTGAATGGATTCGGGAGCCATGTGCCACACCATGGATACCAGTTGCCCTGCTGTTTCGCGCACCGGTGCCACGACGCTCCCACTTTGGGCATTCGATGTGCTTGTTGTTGTTCCCGAGTAGTCCCCAAATCGATCCAGCAGTACGACGCAAAGACATCGTACCAGAATATCGTGTGGCCAAGCCCCAAAAGCACTTGTACAAGTGTTGTTTCCATGCCACGCTTTCAAGAGCGCTAGCAGTCCCATGAGTGCCCCATGACGGATATACCACGTCGGATCAAACAATCGAAATAGCAATTCGGTCGCCAACAGGATTTGTGGGTTGTTGTGTGTGAGGGAAATGGCTGAATCCGAGGTTTGCTCTCGTTTCATTTCCAACACTAGCAAGGCTCTCACGGATGAATGAGGATCCTCCTTGGGTTTTTCGTGGCGACGACTGCGCTTCTTCGGACGAGATTGTGGAGGAGGAGGCTGGCTGCAAACAGTGGGATTTGGAAGGTTTTTAAAATCATTCGAGGTAATAGCTTCCAATAGACAAGCATCCATAGTCCCTCCAGTGGCCTGCAACAGACCCGATAGTCCGATCCTTCTTGCTAGAATACAACGTTGCTGTTGGACTCGTCGTTGCACAAAGTCATCATCAGTAGTAACAGCATCACCCTCCTTGTTTTCCGCCAAATGTTGCTGATCCAATTGTCGGATCGAGTCTTCTTCCCTCGCCGCAGCGAATTGGTCGGCAGTAAATGCCCACAAGAGGCGACCCTGTTGTATAATCAAGTCCGGTTGGAAATCTTGGAGCGTCAACCACAAGACACTACTACTACTACTACTATCATCTTGTTGTTTGGCAGAACTCAAAAACTGCTGTCGCGATGCCAGTGGCAAATGGCGTGCCACTCCTTCCATGGCACCGCTGGCATTTTGACGTGTCTGCCAATTTGGGTCCAACAAGAATGCCAAGAGGCGACCGAGCACATCCCACAGCACCAGAGGCGACGATTGAGCGGAAATGCTGGCCAGTTGCAATGCGGCCATTGAGGCGTGTTCCTGGCTCCCATCTTGGATCAACTTGAGCAATCGAAGTGTGTGGGGCGTCAACAACAAGACACTTTCATCTTCCCTCCTCCTATCGGTAGTAGGTTGTTGCCGCTTCATGCAGTGCTTGTAAAGGTGTCTGTAATCACCAAGAGAATGATTGAACTACCGTATTCAATCTCACATCTCAAGACGTTTGTGATGTCCTCTGGTTCCGATCGGAAAACAACTAAGCCAGCAGAGCTGTGTAACCTCGGCAGAAAGGTTTCAGTGTAGAAGCAGATACATGTACAGTCATACCACCGTATCGGTAGCTAGCTAGCTAGAAGCAGATATATGTACCTGGAGCGTTCCTCAATCGTGGGTGAGGTTAAATCCAAAACGCCCCAAAAATAGCGGCAGATTTAGGGGCAGATTCCCATTAGGGGCAGGTTTCAAACCTGCCCCTAAAAATAGGGGCGTTTTGGAGAATCCGCCCTAAATCCGCCCCAAAATAGGGGCGTTTCGTCATTTAGGGGCGGATTTGAAACCCGCCCCTAAAATAGGGGCATTTTCAATATATTTTGAGTACAGTCCCGTTTACTGTTTGGGGCAGGTTAGAAATCCGCCCCTAATTATTAGGGGCAGTTTCTGTGGAAACTGCCCCGAAAATAGGGGCGTTTTACCATTCAGGAGCAGGTTTGAAATCCGCCCCTATTTTAAGGGCGGATTTAGGGGCGGATTCTCCAAAATGCCCCTATTTAGGGGCGTTTTGCACGACTGAGGGACGCTCCTGTAGTGCTTAGCTAGTGCTTAACTTGCGCTTAGCTAGCTAGAAGCAGATCCCCCCTAGCTAGAAGCAGATTCCCATAGCAAGCTAGAAGCCGATACCCCTAGCTAGCTAGAATACTAATTATCTAGCTTTCGCTAGCTTTAGAGTTTTTCCTGGTAGGAGCAGATCCCTCTACTAGGATACATGTAAATAGCTTTAGCTGGTTTAAAAGCACCATCATAGGATACTTATTTAGTTTTTGCTAACTTATTTGTATTCTAACCCTACCCTTATACCTACAGGGACCGCCGTAGCAGGAAAAATAATTAAAGGGGTTGAGGGCTCTGGCAGCAAGACTGCCGAGGTAGCTAAAAGGCAAGATTCCTCTGCAGGCGAATCTGCAGATTCGATTCGCGGCGAATCAGCTGGATCTGCAGTTTACACTTCTCCCGAACACTGCTCCCAAATACTTCTTCTGAACACTTTCAGTATTCTAACGAATTACTTCTTCATTATCTGTGGACATTCTTGTAGGATATTGCAGACAATCTGCGGTTGACAATTTTTGTATCACCGTGCGCACCCATCACACCGTACCATACTCTACTCAACCGAACCACACCATACCGTACTTTACCATACCGTACTGTACTCCACCATACGAATTAATTAAAAGCTTCAGAGATCCAGCATCTAAGGAATGCGATATTAATATGTTGTAGCACCGTGCTAATGTGGGTTGGTTTGGCAAGTAAGAATTTTAAATCAAAATATTTCACTGGAAATTTGTTAAAATACTAAAAGAAAAAATTTGAAACTAGGAATGTTGAAAAATTCTCTTGTGGGTACGTATACACCCCTTCGTATAATGCTACCCACATAGCAATATGAGTGTTCTAGAAATCCTATTATCTTCAAGCTAATAATAGACAGTTTTGAGTTCTCCAAAAAGAGTAGATATCATTCCAAGCAAGCATTTTTGAAAATTTAAGTTTTGGCTGAAAGATATATGTACGGGCATTTAGATATGGCGATTTGTGGTGGCACAGCAAGGCAAAACCACTGTGTGGCCTATGCGACCAGGTCCAAATCAAAAATAACTTTTCGTTCGCTCATAGGCTATATATTAGTGCATGAGTAGACTAAAAGTGATATTTGAAAAATCTGTTTGTAAGTGAGCGAATATTACACAAATTTACCTAATCAACTAACTAGCAGGACAGTACAGTCTATCCTTGATAGGATTGACTTTAAACGGGGCTTGTGCGTGCTTCCATCTGGTGAGTCAAAGTTGGATTTTGACTTTAGTTTTGGTTTTGACTTCAGTGAAAGTTTATTTTTGTGATAGAATTTCTATGACGCTTCATTCCGATTTGCAAACTGAGTATGTAGAAAGCTACGTCTCTGGTTCTGCATACTCAAGTAGTCTAGCACGCTTAACGAGCTCTCGATTTTGAGTTTTTTAGAAGAAGTGTCCTTTAAATCTTTCTGATATTATCAGTACTAACCTTGGGACGTAGCTTTCGACATACACGGTTTGCAGCTTAGTCTCCTATTCCTACGCTCCTCCACTCCTTCCCAGGTGGTCTAATCTAAGGAAAGGAAAGTAATTCCCCAACTCCTTGAGGAATTCCCTTTGGAACTTGCTAGTCCTGAGCATGACTTACTCAGTCACTAGTCGTGACTCAGTACAATTCTACGTGAGTCACTACCGTAATTCCTTTCCCTTAAATTCCTCTCCTTCGACGCTTCCTTTTGATTTGGAAGGAAAGCAGGAGGAATTCCGGGAGGCAGGGAATTCCTCAAAGGAATAGCAAACTAAAGTTTGCAAATCAGAAGAGCCATGCCCTACTTGCATAAGATATTCAGTTACACATGCGTCATAGCTCAAAAAGAACATTGATGTACGTGTATCTCGCTAAAATACTTCGGCTGATCTTACTCTTTTACTATACGTCGGAAATACCAACACAAGCAAGCTAGCTTCCTGTTTCACGGTATTGCACCCCTTTGCGAATTTTACTGTGCAAAATCAGTATAAATTGAACCTCAGTTGCAGTCACAGATTTTCTAATTGCCTTTGTACTCAATTTTTACAGTCTCGGAGTTACAGTGTGTTGAGGCACATGCAAAGCATGTTTCTTTTCCATTTGATGGGTTACCTAGGCACGTACCATTGCTTCTGCATCTAAGTACCGAGCTATAAACTGCAGGGCAAGAGGCGAGCTCTAGCAACGCTAAGGCAGCTTGCTGGCTTGTTGCCTGGAAAAATGGATATCTACTGAAAGCGTTACAGTTCCTCCCACGACTCAGAGTATCCGTGAGTAGATTGGGTCATGTTTTATGAGTCAACACGATGGAACAGAGAACGCTGGCAAGAACACGAACTGTGAGAAAGCTGATCATCGGAAGAAGGATGTTTCTCATCATCGTGCGGGCATGGAGGATCCGCTTCGTTGGGTACGTCGAGGAGGTCCAATGTGTGTCGTCGTATCGCCACGAGGTTTTGTTTTGGCTGTCGTCGGATTCATCAGAGAAATTTACGAAGGGTTGCCAATCAGGGTCAATCTCTGGCTCGTGAACAACATCCGTGGGATATGACTCGTAGGATGAGCATCAACTCGTGGACTCGTACTCGCGTGAAGCCGTATTGGTCGACTGTGATAGGACGGACGCGATATCACCGGCGAAGGCGTTGGCGTTGAATGGTCTTGTTGCACGCGAGCTGCAATAGGTTAGTGTCCGTCTTGTTGGACTTGGTTTGGTGCGAGAACTTCTAGGTTGCGCTGCTCGTGGGTGGTCTGCCCATGTCGAGGAGGTCGTGAGAGTGACTGAGCGGGATGGGCGTGATTGCCCAGATTGTGGTGACTACGTCGACAGCAGTCAGTGTAGTCAATGCTCTTCTTGCCCTGTCGGAGATATTTCCATGCCTCTTGATCCGCTTGGACAACGACCGCATGTGTTGCGTTCATCATGACCTTGCGTGGACCAGAGTGTCTGTCTGATGGCTGCAATAGGACTTCCACCGGTGTATCATATCATGGACGAATGCCCATAGGTGTCGCCACAGGTTTCCGCTGTACATCGTCGAAGAGAATTTCGTGTTGGTAGGTGCGACGACGGGCGTTGCTTCGAGAGCGTGTAGACGTCGCATATTTGCATTGTCATGAGTTGTGCTTGCTCGAGAGGGCCGCTCGGTATTGCTCGAGAGTATACTGGGAGGTGTCGCCTGCAGCTTTCTTGGTCTGCATTGCGAGACGTCGTACGGAGCGAGTAGTGCCTTGGAGATTGAGCGTTCCAAGAAACGTGCCCCCTTTGTTCAGTGTATGGCTCGATCGCTGATCTCATTGTACTGCCGAATTGTTCGAGGAAGTTGGAGATGAACCAGCTTGGGACCTCTCCATGTGCCTTCTGCGATATCGGCGGAGGTGAGTTAACACGAAATCTTATCGGAGGTTAAGGGGTTGCGACTGGACTTGGAGTAATAGTCGTCAATTGCCTTCCAGATCGGCGAGTGTCTTGCTGGTTTCGTTGGCAAGGACGACAGATCTTGCCTGTGCTTCTAGGAAGATGTCTTCGAAGGTCTTGTACATCCATTCTCGTTGTTTCTCGTCTAGTTCGACGTTGGTGACCGTGAAGTCAGAATCAATGAGGTGGGAGAGACCTTGGACTTGAGCGTGTTGAGGAAATTCTTCCTCCATTTGATGAAGCTGATTCATCGCGAAACTCTCTGAACTCTGAGCGGCGGGCTTATTGTTCTTGTCACCAAGTGCGATTGCACTTCCCATCGGTCATCGTGGCATCGCTGCGTCTCATTTGTTGCCTGGGACGATTTCGCCGGTGGGCTGGAAGAGTCCAACTCTGAAAGCTCGAGTGCGTCGGCCGTCAGTGTTACGCGCGGATGGGTGCCTTCTCCTGGACGACCAATGGTGATACATCGTTATCGCCGCGAGCAGTAGTTTCTTCCTGGTGAGAGAACTGGTCTTGCATTGCCGTTGGTGTCGTTGGAGAGCTTGGAGATCCATAACTTCATCTTTGGTGAGAATAGGAGATCCATCCATCCGTCGATTCCTTGTTCAGACAGTGCGATGCGCATGTGAGATGCAGTTACCCTGGGTGGAAGCATCTCGCCGCATAGGGTGCATAGGAATGCTTGAGCTTGGCTGCTTCATCGGCCATCTTGATGAAGGTGTGGCAGTGCGTACTGCGACTAGTTAATCTGCTAACTTGGGGAATACTACTTGAATAGAGGTCTTGTAGAGGTAGCTACCACCCGACGAGATCAACTGCAACTATTCAAGACGAGTGCAAGGTAAATGCAAAGTTCGCTTCTTAGTAATTCATAATCTGGTGTTGTGAGCTTTGATTGATGCGATCAGTAACGTAGTTGTAGCGTGTTAGATCAATACATCGTGGTAGTTGATACGGAAGTCAACGTGGATTTGCGGGAAACGGTTCGTTGGCAGGAT